AGAGAAAAAGAGGAATACCCCCAAAGAGATGGATGGCCAAATGGCAGCATCAATGGACTTAAGCATGGCAACAGTAGTGAGGCTGGCCCAGAATCGGGCAGTGTTTCATTCTGCTCTGCATAAGGTCTCTATGATTCGGTACCAACTCAATGGCACCTAACAACAACAAAATACTCTTCTACTGATAATTTGCTCCCCATTATAAGCCACTGTCTGATCTTAGTCCAACTCTATACACCGTGAACTTGCATAAGTGATTTGGTTCCTCTGTTCAAAACAATCATTTCTAAAATGTTGATGCAATACTTTCTAAAATCTTTTATCTTTTCAAATTAGCCCTACTTAATGTGGCGTGCTGCTGTGCCACTGTATGATAAGTGCAGGATGACAAATTCCGTTTGAACTACTTGGTCGGTTCTTACCATCTATCGGTCGCTCATCGTAAACCGTATACTAGATTGCTACAAATCTGAGCAGACGTTAATGGCATTTAGCGATAATAATAGTGTTATGGCAGAAGAAAGATGAGGCTTTCTCCTGCTATGAAGATTTAAAACCGTGGAAATCCTACACATGGTCGCTGAGTTGAATCTGACTCCGTGGCACTTAACAACCACAATAAAATGCTATGGGACCTTGTGTGATGGCATAGGATAAGCACTAGACTGCTAATTGTAAGGCAGGAGGTTCAAACCCACCAGTCATTTCTCAGAACCCTATACAGGGTATTTATGAGTTGAACCAACTGGACAGCACTTATCAGCAACAACGTATACTCATTTATGTTTATTTTGCCTTAGACAATCTTTTTTTTTTTTTTTTTAACCAGCATGTGAACACCTCATTCTAATAACATCTTAAAGTTAATCTCAAGTGACAGCTTCCTGAGTATTCAGATTCTTAGTCTTCTTCAACATTGGAGCATATGGGTATTTCCTCCTCCAGTGCCACATCTGTGCTCACGTGTGACTTTTCTGTCCATTCATACAGCCATTTATTCCATTAGAAAAACATTGGGTTCTACAATATTCTTCCTAAATAATTATTTCAAAATTGCATC